TTCAATATATTATAGAACATTTTACCAAAGAATCCTGAAATAGTAAGGATACTTTCACTTCTAACAAGGTGGAATGTGTACTGTGCGACCTCGGGTCTCACCCTTATATGACTAAATCGTCTGACCCAAATAATTTAGCAGAAAGTGAGGTAAGTGCATTACCTATATCTCCATCTAATCCAACTCGAGATCATATTTATTTCTGTAATAAAATATTAAAGCAATATCCTAATTTATACCAAGAAGGTAGTAATGGAAATAACAATTATTATGGAATTACTGATAAATCATTATGTCCGCTATGTAAATTGGATCATGACGATAAAAATGGTATAGAAGGCAGATATGAAATTGGATTTTATAATCTTAAATGTGAACAGCATGAAATTGAAATTGAGGTAATAGTATGAACTTTAAACATATATTAGCACAAATCGCTTAAGTCTTCTGAGGCATATTTATTTTTTGTTAGTTATTGTTAATTTAGAAAGATGTGTAGTCATATACATAAAATGGGAACATGGATACACAGGCAAAAGTTAATAAAACATTGACTCCAAAATATTTGGAATGAGAAGCTAAATTAACAGAATTGCCGGGTATTTTGACAGATAAAATTTGTTCTAGGTTATATAACAGGTATAAAAATAAAACTGGATTCGATCCCTGGATAAACTCTGAAACCTTTGAGTCCCACAAATCGAAAAGGATGCTGAAAAAAAGACATTATTTGTACCACAGATAAATGTTTAGCCTACACCATCCAAACTTCAATCATTAATTTTTATTCTATCTAAAGACCCGGAAGAGAAACAAAAACATGTTATTAAAATAGTATTAGAGCGATTTCCTTATTTAACTTTAAACATAGTTTTAAATATAGTAATTATTTTGATTTTAATAGATCTGTACCCTGCCCTTTATGTGATAAAAATCATAAAAAAGAAAATATAAGAAATAATATAGAGGGTTTATGGGGGAGTGGCGATTATGTCAATACAAAAACTTATCATCTCTATTGTTATATAAATAAATATCAGAATTCAATCCCAATAGCAACCATAAGAGCATAGATTAGCAAAGCTAGTTCCACTAATAAAATTAACTCAATAGTCTCCACTAATTAATTACATTGTAAAAAATGGCGAGGCCACAGGACCCCTCTTTATTTTTTCATAATAATTGTTGCCGGAGACAATATACAGATAAAATATTTTTATTATAAAATAAAAAAAATAAAAAATACATGTATGCATCAAAGAGGGGTTTACATTTGATTATCCCTCTTTAGGGAATATGAGGAGGTGAATGGAACCGTTTTCACTATATTGATGATCATTAATATACCCATTGTTAAAATACTCGGAAATTTTTTTATTTGATCTTATGAATTCACCTTTATCATTACGACTATTTACTGAAGAGATTAAGGAACGGTTAGGTTGAAAAAAAACAACTTTGTACAGATCAAAATCTTTTTGAAATAAATTTGGTCGGGTACTTTTAATTTCGGTTTTCAGATTCTCAACATCCAAAGTCTTATCAACAGTTACCCCAAAAATATCTTCGAGGGTCTCACCACGAATAAAACAGTTAAAGGTAATATTATCGTTGGTCTTGGAGGTGGTGTTATCATTAGTGCTCATTTTTCGTTCCTAAATACAAAAAACATAGTAAGTAAAAAATCGTCTTCATAGACTGTATTAAACGGTAAATCCATTACTTTAAAAATAAACGGGCAAGTGAACCAAGTAAAAATATATATGAGCAAAAAATAACGTTATTACTAACTTAACTTAAGGTGGAAACTTGCTTATTTTTATACTTCTCATTCGTTAGATCTGGAGAACCTGCCAGAACAAAATTACACAATTAGTAATTA